TCTCACCTCCCTCCTCAACTTCCTTGTCATCACAAATGGTGAGAACCTGAAGATTTTGATCCTTACACTTGTGCCCTGGTGTGTACTTCTTATCACATCTGAAGCACAGCCCCCTTACTCGCTTCTCCTGCAACTCCTTCTCAAGGAGCTTCTTGAAGTTCCCCCCAAAGCCCATTCCTCTAATCTTCTCCTTTGGAGGTTCACGCAGACTTCTCGGTGCGGATCCCTTAGGAGCTAAAAAGGTAGTGGTCATATTATATGATCCTCCAGAGCTACTGCCTCTAGCCCCCCTATCCGGATGCTTTTGGTCCTCGACCAACTGTGTCATCTCCATGGCCTACCCCAAGTCACGCGGCCTCATCACTCTGGCAGCTGTTATGATCTCTAGTTTAAGTCTCTTCATAAAGTTCCCCTCAAGCAATGTCTTAGAAAGCTGGTCTAGCCTGCTAGCTAGGTACTCAAACCTGGCACGAAACTCTGCTACAGTCCCCTCCTACGTCAGGGCGAAGAATAGTTCATAGAAGTCTCCTTCCCTACTGGTTCGAAAACATTTCAGTAAACAGTCCTTAAACTCCCGCTAACTCCAAATGGGTCACCTCATATCCTCCACTAATACCAAGCCAATAAATTCCCTTCCAAACACAGTCTCGCTGTTGTCAATTTCTCCTCCTCCATCGACCCGTTGACTGCAAATAATCTCTCTACTTTGTAGATCCACAAATGTGAATTCTCACCCTCAAATATAGGCATCTTCAACTTCCTTACCCTTGGGTCACCCCCATTTCCCCTAAATCCTCCGTAGCCACCCATTTCTCGAAGAGGAGGTGCTCCCCAAGTGTAATGCTCTTCCCTTCGGCCCTCAAACCCAAATCCTTCTTCAAAATCCCCTCTCCTTTCAAAATCAACACCCCGGCGATCATAATCATCCCTTCTCACAAAATCAGCACCCATTCGCTCATACCCGACACTCATTTCCTCCCTAGAAAGTGATTTCAACAGAGGCATCACATTGCTCCCTCCAAAATCTCCACTTCCAGAGTTTCCCTTCCCCTAAACGAGTTAGGGTTTCCCTCTCTCCCATGGTCACCGGTGGTTTCCTTCACTTCAGATGTCGTCAAATTGAGTTTGGCTTCAAGAAACTTCTTCAACTTGTCTTTTACTACGGCGAATCTTCCCTCCATCTTTTCATGAATGGATGCAAACTGGTTCTAAAAATCAGAAATTTTTTCCTCAAAATTTGATTTTAGTTTACCTGATTCTCCCTCCAAAACTTTCACCTTCCTTCCGGCCATTGGTACACCTTAGATCGACGTGCTCTGATACCAATTTGATAATAAACAACCACTAAATCAGAGAAAACGTGTTGAATTTCAGATAAATTCAGCAAACACCAAGCAGATTTTTTAAAATATGTAGAGAAATAGTGAGGCAAGCACTTGAAATTCAATAAGAAATGAAAAGAAACAACCCGATACAATGAATTTTCAATTCGAGAGAAAGATTCAGCTCTTCAATCTCTAGTCAAAATCTAGAGCACAAAACCAAACCAAAGATCTCAAATTTCAAATTTAATTCAAGATAAAACCTAACCCTAGCAAGAATAAGATTACTTAAAATAAAAGGACAATTCATTAATCCCTAAACAACCCCCAGTTTGAATTTTCCCTCCTAAACCAAGCCTTCAATATGGCGTGGGCCCAATCCATGCATCCCCCCAGCCTAGCCTCCCCCCCCCCCCCCCCCCCCCACCCCCCTCTTCCCCCTTCACCCCCCCCCGCTAGCCAATTCTTATATTTAGAATGAGTTGAATAATTACTTTATGATTAACATATTCAAATATTTCTTTCTCAATATAAGTGATTTTTTAAAGGGAAACCCACGGAACTGATCTTCTTCAAGAGACCAATCTTCCAAGTTGAAAATGTGTTCCAAACCTCATGAAGAATCAGTAAGATGACCTATCTTGGTATAGTAGTTTAGTCGGAAAATTGATTTATCTGACTGACACTAGGCCTAACATTTCATTCAACATTGGAGTTGTTAGGCAGCAAATGCAAAATCCAAAAATAGAAGCTTTTTGAGAAATTATTATGTGAATGCTTAGGTACATCAAAAAGCCTCTTGAAAAAAGGGTGAGTATATACTAATACTAAGCATGTGAATTTACAACCATTCTCATATATCGATTGTGTTGGCTCAATTGAACATAGGAAGACAACCTCTAGATATTAAAGACTTATTTAAGAGAGTTCAATTTTTCAATTACAAAACCTATGATTCCATACTATTACAATAAAATAGTCATATATATTGTCATCTACATTGCTTTTTCAATTTCAAATGTGAAATGATATTCCATAAAAGAACTTAGCATATTAATGTTGATTGTCATTTTATTCAAGATGTTATATTTTTTTAGAAGATTTTCACTCGAAACTCTAGTCAAAACAATTGATTGAGTTACAAAAACTAAGGCATTTTACGAATATGTTGATTATATAACAAATTGGAGTTAACTGATATATATACTCCAATTTGAAGAAGAGTGTTAAAGTAGGATAATATTAAAATAAGAGAGCTCTCTATATTTCGAGACTAGTGCAAATTAGGGGTGTAAATAAGTCGAGTCGAGTATAGGTCTTATCGAGCTCGGCTCGTTAGTCGGAAAGCGAGCTCGAGTCGAGCTCGACATGCGAGCTCAAGCTCGAGCTCGTCCCACTGTAAACGAGCTCGAATCAGCTCGATTCAGTTTGGCATTTTCCCGCCTGTCCATTTTTTATTTCTCCCCCATGTGTCTGCCATTTTTTTTTCCCGCCTGAGCAGCTGTCACTTGGAACTCACATCAAGAATTATAGCCGGCTATTAATGAGCAACAGTTTAACATATATTATAATATAGTTTATATCTTATTTTAATTGAAGCACTTGTAGTTGTCCCAACTCCCAAGCAATTGTATTTGTCCCAATATAAATTATAATACATTTTAATATATTATTTTAATTAACATACGTATTCATTAACATATATTTTAATATATTATAATACATATTGTATATTATTTTAATTAATAAATAATTAACGAGCCGAGCTCGCGGCGAGCTCACGAGCCGATCTGGCTCAAGCTCGAACTCGAGCTCATTTATCATTCGAGCTCGGTTATAGGCTCGAAGCTCGATAAGCTCGGCTCGTGAGCTCGTTAACGAGTCGAGTTCGAGCCGGCTTGGCTCACTTACACCCCTAGAGCAAATCAATTGGTTATACCTTCGAATATTGCAAAGATTTCCTGTTATAATCAGGAGGATCTCTAGTGAATGATACATCCCAAAATAATTTCTCCTATAACAATTTACCAAACCATAAAAGGACGGTTGAATCACTCAAATACCATCATTTTTTAGTCCTCACACCGTTGTTAAACCAACAACCATTGTGGATCCTGCTACCAACTTTACCACCTATCGCAATAAGCATTCAAACAACCAATAACATATAGTTGGTTGTTGTAAATGTAACAGATAGCGGGAAGCTAGAGGGTTAGAGCAGTCTTAGTGACATGAGGGTTAGTAATGATTTAAGTACTCAGGTATAGGAGTGTAAGTGAGCAAAGCCGGCTCAAACTCGACTCATTAACGAGCCGGCTCAAACTCGACTCATTAACGAGCCGGCTCGAACTCGACTCATTAACGACCTCGTGAGCCGAGCTTATCGAGCTTTGAGCTCAAGCTCGAGCCTATAATTGAGCTCGAATGATAAATGAACTCGAGTTCGAGCTTGAGCCAGATCGGCTCGTGAGCTCGCGAGCCAGCTCGTTAATTATTTATTAAATAAAATAATATATAATATGTATTATAATATATTAAAATATATATTAATAAAAACATATGTTAATTAAAATAATATATTAAAATGTATTATAATATATATTGGGACAAATACAATTGCTTGGGAGATGGGACAACTACAATTGCTTTAATTAAAATAATATATAAACTATATTATAATATATGTTAAACTGTTGCTCACTAATACCCAGCTATAATGCTTGATGTGAGTTACAAGTGACAGCTGCTCAGACAGAAAAAAAGGGCAGACACAGACGGGAAAAATGAAAAATGAACAGGCGGGAAAAAGCCAAACTGAATCGAGCCGGCTCGAGATCGTTTACAGTTGGACGAGCTCGAGCTTGAGCTGAGCTCGAAAGTCGAGCTCGAGTTTCTAGCTCACTTTTCGACTAACGAGCAGAGATCGATAAGGCCTAAACTCGACTCGACTCGACTTGTTTACACCCCTACTCATGTATGAGAGCATTGTCATTAATTAGCTATGCGTTATAAATTCCCTGATATTTCAAAATCAAAATTGAGGGATCCAATTATTCATATAAAAAAAAAAATCGATGTGAACAATCCTTAGTAATTGTATATCCAAACTCAAGCAGCATATAGATATCACATACCCTTTTAAAGATGTATGTGGCATTACCTTCACTTAAATATTCTTATGAGTCAAAAGCATAGAAATTGGCCTGGAATTAGTTACAATGTCCATGGGCAAACTAAAAGGAAAACGAAAAACAAGTGAGCTTTTACGAAAAAGCATTTGAGCGCAACAACAAAGTATTGCATGAAGCCTGATGAAGGTCCTTGGTACATCTGAAACAATCATGTTGAGTTTTTTTTTTTTTTTTTTTTCCCTAGAACCTGTAAGATATCAGATTAATTAAATATGATTCAAGGATACACTGTGCAAGAATGATATTTGCATCTTAAAGCCATACCTTCGTATTTTTCAAAATTCCAAAGGTTAAAAAGGTAACTTCCATAATACCACATTGAACTTGATAAATGCAACAAATCATGCAAATGCAATTATGTAATATTTGAGACAAAAAAAAAAACATTTACTGAAAGGAAAATCTGATTGAACTTCAACAGACAACAGTTGTTATGAAGGTTAGGCGACAGACATGCATTAGGCCACTAAATTACAGAAGGCTATAACAAAACACTAGAAAAGATGCTTTAGAAGAACATAAAAAACAAAAGGTATTAACTCAAAGAGAAATTATCACCTCAATGACGGCAAGGGTATCCAGGTTGGGAGATAGGGTTGGCTTAACACCTTTTGCAGCAAAAACTTCATCAGGTGTCCTGTGCCAGATGAGCTTCATTAATTCATGATCATTAAATCAAACAAAGTACACTTGAATCACTAAATCAAACAAAAAACACTGGCGGGTAGCAAGCATCTATAACCATGGAATTAAATTCAAGGGTAAATAGTAATGTTAAAATGTATTAAGACAGAAACAGTAACCCTTGGGGACTCAAAAAGTACCTGGCTAAAATAGGCCTTGGGCTAAGCCTATCCTCAGGGTCACTGCATTGCATAATGAAAAAATTGACACTTATAATAAACATAGTAAAAAAATCCAGCTAGACTACCAAGTACCTGATAGATTTTAAATTACAAGTTCACCTTTGTACACAAACAACCGCTTCAACCAAATTTGCTTTTAGCATTTCTACTGCAATGGTTGTCACAATACCCGTCCATTGAGCTCCTAGATAACCGAAAATAAATATTTTCAGCAAAACTGCTTCTTTATTAGCATATTTGTTTAAGGTTTGAAAATTTGTTGTGTTTAACAGCTCTGTCGATATCAGTAGAATGAATATAAGGTGAATTGCAACAGCTGCTTATAAAATGAATATAAGGTGAATTGCAACAGCTGCTTATAAAAAACCGTTACATGAGTTGCAAGGGCGACAACCTTCACATGCACTGCTCTAGCAAGATAGCACAATATGTTCTGTAACTTACAAGTAAAAAAAAGTCATTTTCTATCGCGTCATTTCTGAACCATTACAAAGTAGAAATCAGTCAAAGGTAAAACTGTAAACACAGAGGAAACAATCACAAAAAACTGTATAGTCATCCTTCCTAAAGCCCAAATGAAATGTTTCCCACCTTTCTACATGGAAATAGAATGATTTTGAAGCGCTGCGTTGCATTCTATAACCATAGGAGATCATGCCTAACGTTTCAGTGACTGGTTTGTCCAGCACAAAAGCACACAGTTGATACTCCAGAAAGACCATCCATACAACTCATGGCATGATAAATCTCTCTTTCGTAAGCACAATTAAGCAGATCAGACAAACAAATAAAAAACTCACCAGAAGCTTGGATGATGAACTTTTCAAATTATTGATGTTGCAAAAAGGATATAGGCTAATATAAGACAAATGGCATTCTTAAGGAATAGCAGCCCACATATTACAACATGACTAAGGCTAGTAGGCTTGCAAGCTAAACTGCAAGTACAAACTAATTATACTGAGGACAGACTCAAAGAAGAGAGAGAGAGAGAGGCTGTGCAATAAACAAAAATAAGTTCACAAAATGATAAATGCATCCCCATAAGCAATGCTGAAAAAAGAATAGCGTTCAGCTTTCTCAGTAAACATGAAAAATGTGTGCATGAATACCTTCAACGGGCTTTATTTTTCTAGCATATAGCAACTCCTCGTGTACACCGAAGTACATTTCATCTGAGCTACTTCCCCGTCCTCTTCCATGCACTGCAGGTTCTAAAGCCTAATACAAATTTGATTTTGTAACAATAATACACCGCAGAATAAAATGCATAATTATTAATAACAAACATCCAAAATTCAAAATTGTAGAAGGTAAACTTCAGCACAACCTAATATCATCAATTTAAACCAGTCCTGTATTTTAACTTAACATACAAAACACCGGATCATAGCAAACTTGCTATTCTTGAATCAAATTGAATGCTGCAATTAGAGCATTAGAATGCACTAAAAATGGGTCAAATAAAGAGAAAATTGGTAGAATTAAATGATTAATGGAAAAATGTTGTCAATATATGAGAACATTGTTCACAATAACTGTTATTGTGAAATAAACACCTAAATAATGGGGAATGCACTGTTCATTTTACCAGAATAATTTCAACTTCTTTTTGCTCCTATGGTCCATAGATTTGGTCATCTACTCAAATGCATCTAATGCCATCCAAATGAGCCCACATGCCGATCCTAATCTCTCTATCTCCCCTCTCTTATTGTCTCTTCATTACAATCTCCACCACTCGAAGTATTAGCACAATTATATTACATAACACATTATGGTTAGCAAACGTTTACAAGCTAACCCATTTGCAAAAAAAAAAAGGCCTCTCCAACAGATTGTGATACATGAAGATCTCCCTACTTCAACAAACACTCCACCACGGCACCACCTTCGTAATGCTGAAGTTGCATCAACTTTATAGAGTACTTTCTAGTGATGGGGATTTGACGAAGTGCAACAATAGACCTATCACAATGTCTATGACAAATAATTAATTTTTAAAAGTCAAAACATGATATTTATGATTGTTTTGTGTGTGTGTGATTTAGAGAGGCAATATATATTACGCAGTCATGTGCTATGTTCATGTATCATTTAGTCAATCCATGCTTATAAGTTATGTTGGAGGATTGGCGGCATCAAAAGACTTTCAAATGCACATAATTCTATCATTATGTCGCATTATGCAAAGAGAATAACTTGATGATCTCATGCAAGGTCAAGATAGAGAGGGTTCTACAAGGCTTCATATTTTAACTCCTAATCATATGAGGAGTCAAAAGGAGACTTGTGAAATTTATTTTTAGCAAGAAGAGACAGACATGCTCTCTCTCTCTCTCCTCTCTTCGTTACCATCTCCACTTCTCAAAGAATTTGCAGTCATATTACATAACTCTTTAAGGTGTTCAATCTATCAACATTTGGTGCTTTCATTGAGATAGCTGCTCAAATGAAAAGAGTAATCGAATATTATGAGAAAAACTCCACAAAAACTCGTAATTAGACCCCTCATGGACATCAAGAGAGAATTGGTAAATGTTACAAAAGCACGGTTCGCAATGACCCAAGCAAATGTCTCCAACTGGAATCAACTCTTCATAATCTCCTCACCCACCTTCCACCTTTCAGGTTGAGGAGCGCTAAAGAGAGTCTCCTCTACTTCTTTGCAACCAATTGTTGTGGCAAAAGATGGGCAGGAAAATATCCCAAAGATTGAGGTGGATAGGATACCTAGAAGAGTTTGCCTCAAGGGGTTGTAGTGCCAGCATGTCTTAATTGCAAAGATAATGGAGAAACTTCTTGCAAAGTTCAAGATTCCTCAGTTGCATTCTTGCCACAATTCACCAAACCAATGGAGCATCTCACTTAGTGGCCCTTCATATAATATATAATGACATTGCGACGTGTATTCATAACATTAAAAAATTATGCTTTGCAATGATTCTTTAAGAACCAAGTGGGAGAATTAGAACATTTTATGAGTTTAAGAGACAGCTATTTAATCAACTCTCAAAAGTTGATGAAGATTTGGTAGGGCCTCCCAACATCTGCCAAGAGGAGCTTGAACCCAACAAGCCTACATGCTGAGGTGAAAAAGGAGATGTTGGAGCCCTATGAGAAGTTCTAAGTTTATGGTGGTAAAAAATCCCATGACTACTTGCGATAAGAAGTTCTAAGCACATTCAAAACAAGGAGCTCACAAAGGGGACCTAAGTCGCCCTCCTCGTCTACTCAATCACCAATCTCAGTCAATGGGATGTACAATAATCACATTAATCATACTAGCAAGAATAAAGAATACCCTAACAAGGTGCAAACAACAAGTCCTCCAAGACTACCTCATCATGCGCAAAGTATACTAGATTCTCCCTATGAGGATATGAATTGTCGCGACTAGTCAAGCTAATAGAAAGAATTTCAACCATCCAAAAGGTAGGGAGGATAGGAGAGCAAACAAGAAAGAAAAGATAGCGTACACCAAATTTTTAAGTTGTTCCAACAACAACCAACATATATTATAAGGCGAGGGGACAAGGATTTCATTAAGTGAAAAAGAATGAAATTACAAGTATCTCTAGTGCTATGCTCTTACACTTAGTTTAAAATCTAGAAAACTTTTCGTAGGATTTAAATCATCTCATTTCATCCTGGTTTCCTACTAGCCTCGTGTGTTATCCCTATATGAAAGCTCAAGTATGGAGTACTTATAGATGTTGGCCAACTTAAGGCAATTTGGAGCAAATCGTGAAGGGAGGGGCAATTGAATTTGGCAATGATCAATGTAGTGGGCCACATGCAGACTATGGAGCAATCAAGCACTAGATAGCGGGCATTAAACAATCAGCTAACTGGCGAGTAATAATAATTCACACGAATGAAGGTGATTCATGACAGGTAGACATTATGATGTTTCAACAAATCTTTCAGATATGGCCATCAGTCCATACATGAAGTGGTAATGTGGCATCACGCAAGTGATTAGAGCATATGATAATGGTTATTGCAATCAAGACGAAAGGCTGGATCTTCTAGAATCTTGTCAGGGTTAATGAATATTCTAGACGTATGGATTGCCTTTGTCAACAATTATGTCTATTTAAATATAACTTTTATGACAAAGATTATCGATAACTTCAAAAAAAAATTAAGAGATCACTAGGTGTGAACAAGCCTTATTGCTTGAGCATGTGAAAAGGTGTCGCATTATGTTAAAAAAGAATCTGCAATATATTTGAAAAGTTATTCAACCTCAAAAAATAGCTCAAAAAAATATGGAGAAAATAACTGAAATTAGTTATTATTTTGATCATCAACAAGACAGGTTCTAATTTTGATAATGGTAATGGAATCTTATTTCTTTATTCAAATAGAGAAATTCAGAAATTAATGAATTGTTTTGTTATAAATTTGGATGAAGACAAGAACAAAAAATTCTCAAGCAATGTCTTATCCATCTTCAACAAAAGAACATCAAAACAAAAGCATGTTTAGACATTGCAAGATGCATTTATTAAATGAAATTCCATTCAACATGGTAAGGAGTCCATCATGAATTAATAAGCTTTATTTGTTGGAAACTAAGAAAACAAATAAATTTTGCTTGCATATATGAACTTCGAACATAGAAATTAGATGAACAATATTAAAGATGGTTGATGAAGTGAAGAAGATATGAGTTCTTCAATATGAAATAATAGTCTGACATTCTTCATTAAAAATTATTAAGAGATTTTTGCTTTAAATAAGTTGATGCATCAATCTTTGTTAAAGGCGTACCTTCTTAACGAAGTTGAAACAAACATAGTTGTTCAAGTGGTAACAAATAATGCAAGTGCATATAAGGATGCAAGGAGGAAGTTAATGAAGAAAATTAAACATATTTATTGAACTAGATGTAAAGTCCATTGTCTCAATTTGATGCTTGAGAAGCTATAACAGTTGTCACAACATAAATATGCTTGCTTAAAGCAAAAATAGTTAGCAAGTATGAGGAAGTTCACAAACAAAGAAATTATACATTCAGTCATCAAAAGATTTTCACTACTTTAATTAACTTTACAAAGGTTCGAACTTCGAAGAATTGCAACAATCTTTAAAGGCCAAGCTTGCTTTTATAAAAAGAGATAAATGTTTATAGGAAAAAAAAACTTTAAAGAAAACAAGTGAATAAAATTATTTTCAAAGATAATTCTTTTTTAGTCGTGTTAACTATGCTCTTAAGAGTTAAGACCATATAATCTCTAATAATGGGACTGAAAACGGTTGATGGTGAAAAGGCTATATTAATGGAAATTATCAATGAAGCTATGGAAAAGTATACATAGTCTAACCAACTTTTGACAGTTTTCCAATGCTCTAAAACCATCATGATGGCATCCCACATATGGTTTTTTGTAAATCAAGTTTAGTAAATACATGTGTATTTTGGAGGTCCTAGTTTCAAGTTAGGGAAACATCTTTGAAAATGTAGTGGTCAGGCTGCATGTATCAACCTCCACATATTAGCTGATAAGTTGGCGCCATGCGACCACCTCCACCTAGCGCCTCCATAGTAGCTAGTGGGTAGGCATGCCTCTGGTTTTTTGCTAATCTATTAAATGAAGGAGATGGAGAAGCCGAAGCTGTTATATGGGAAAAGCATCCAAGTCCTTTATGATCCAGAGGCCTTCTCTAGTTGTATAATCCAGAACCAATATAAATACCACCCCCCCCCCCCCCCCCCCAACCCCCCCCCCCCCCCCCCCATGTAAAATTTTCAGGGGAACTTTTGCCACCAATAAAACAGCGAGCAAGAAATAAACACCTAGATCCTAGTGCTCCAAGCATAACCAGATTTACTCGGGAAAATACAAGAAAATGATCCACTCATCCTCTCTTCGTCATGATCTCCAAACTATTTCAACAGTCAAATAAAGTGACTCTTTTGAGACATTGAATCTGAGGTCCACAGACCCTAATCGGCTATAATCCTGACAACAACTTCTGGGACACCAAAATAAATAAATAAAAGAGCAATAACACCTCACCTCAATCCTCGACATGCCGGCTCCTAAGAAAGCGCACGCGTCCCTGACGTGTGCTATGTAATAGGTATCACAAAGCCCACAGCGGCTGCATCAGCAAACACTAGTGATGAGTAACCCCAAACCTTTCTAGGAGATCAAAACTACAAAAAGGTCGTGACCTGCAGTGCTCCTTGGCAGGATAAACCCCACCAGGGCGAATCGGCTTCGAACGATTCCTCCAATCATCCCGTAGCTTGACGGATTTGGAAGCATTCTCTGCGTAATGGGAAAGAGAAACTAGTGATAAGGCTATAAAGTGATTAAATTAAAGAATAGAGGTTTCGGTAGCACATAGACACGTACCTTCCGAAGAAGAAGGGGAAGAGGCAGAGGCTAGGACGAAAGAGGCGGCAGAAATGATGGCGGCCATGGGAGGGGAGTGAGCTTTGAGCAAACGGATGGCTGTAATCCCCCATCACTCACATATAAGCCTATAAGAAGCGTGGAAGACGAAACAAACAGTGTGGCCCACTGGTTAGAAATGATTTTGTTTTCCTTTCTTTTTTTCTCTTGTAGAAAATATATATATATATATATATATATAGTCTCTTCATTTGATAAAAACAAATTTAGCAATAAAAATATATGAGGCATAAAGTGGTATATTCGATTCTTATTATTCATATAAATTTTAATATTAAATATATCATTTTTATATTTTATTATTATCAATCTTATCATCCTATAAACTTTAATATTTCATTTCATGTATTCATATTTGTTCTTGGAAGGTAGGCATGTAATATTAAAATTTTAGGTATTATATATATAAATAGCATGAAATAAAGTGGTATGTATGTAAATCCCCCACACACACAAGAATGCCATCGCTCTTTATTTCTTCCTGGCAATAATTTTGCTATTTTCACCAAGCCTATAATTTTTTCTCCATACTAACGTGCGAGAAATCATCTGGCGCCACCACTAACTAGTTGAGGTACTATCTTCTCTCTCTATTCTTTGATACTCACACACAACCCCTTTGACCCGAATTTTTATTTGGTCTGGTGTCCTAACGTAGCTCTACGTTCGGACTCCAGTAAAATGGTGTCACGTGCCCTTACTCTTTACCGCGCGGCCCGACGACTCGACCCAGACCGGACCCGGGATTGCTATGTATTGGTTGATTTGTGCAGACGGGGGTATTGTTATGTATTGCTCGATATTCCTCGACAATAACTAGAAATATCATTCTGTGAAGACCAATACCGAGCAATACCCCGGTTTTGCTAAGTATTGCTCGATATTGCTATGTATTGATCGGTATTGCTCGGTATTGTTAGGTATTGGTCTTGATAGAGCGGTATTTCTCGTTATTGTCAAGCAATACCTAGCAATACCGAGCAATGCCTAGCAATACGCGAACATAGCAATATCGGGTTCTGGTCCGGGTTGGGTCGTCAGGCCGCGCGGTAAAGAGTAAGAGCACGTGGCGACATGTTATTGGCCTCTGGATGTAGAGCTACGTCCGGTGTCTGGACCTAATAATTGTTCCTTTGACCCACCCTATCTCTCGTTTGCTCTTTCCCTATCTCCAAATTCATCGATTCTTTGAGTTTTTCATCCCACGGAGTTGATTCTATCAATAATCCATTTATAAATTCATTTGGCATCCTATATATATTCTTTTAAATGGCATTTAAAAACATTTGTCTGGTCTTTGCTTCCATAGGTTTTATGACCATATCTATCTATTCGCTTTTCAATCGATTTAAGTTTGAACGGTATGATTAATGATTTGGAGGTTCCCACGGTGTATTTTTTCGTTAAGTGCTTAGAGATCAATCTATGCCTCTTTCACTAGTGTGCAATTGCTCTATATAGGGAAGGTGAGAGGACGATTAGGGTAAATGTGATGGTATTGTAAGAAAGGGTTGGGAAAATCTATTGCTTATTGGAAATTTTGGATGCCAACTATAGAACTGCTTCATCTGCTTCACCATAGATGATCTGAACCTGAAACAAGCAAACACCAAAGCAAACAGAAATTAGGGAGGAGAAGAGAATTGGTGTTAGAAGCTTGTTCACATTTCGTTGTGTGTTTACTATAGCTTTATATTAGTGTATATAACACAATATATGGACAGTGACATATACAATATAGATTAAGGTGGTTAGACATCAATGGTTGTGATGCTAGATCAGAGATAAAGTAATATGAAGTACATGAGTAGTGGAAGAATAATTGCAAGTTGATATGTTGGCATGCTTATCACTTCCCCTCAAGCTAGCATTTGGGTCCAAAATGGTGAGCTTGCTGCGAAGCTCCTGAAAATGCAATGCTTTGGTTAATAAATCAGGTAACTAATTTGTAATGTATATGAGACGCTTGTAATAGAATGTTCTTGATGCACTCATGAACAAAATAAAAATCTATTTCAATATGTTCAGTTCTGGCATGAAAAATTGGATTATTAGCTAGAGCAATGGAAGACATATTATCACAAAATAAGATAGTAGTAGGTGAAGAATCAATTTGAAATTCTTTCAACATCCTTCTAAGGCAAATAATATTCGTAGCAGCCATTGCAAGAGCGCAGTATTCCGCTTCAGTGGAGGATCTAGCAACTTTTTTTTTTGTTCCAAGAAAGCACAATAATCAATCATAGATTTCCGATCAGTGGAATCAACAACCCAGTCGGAATCAGAGTATGCATAAAGATGAAAAATTAGTTGCAGTAATTGGTAGGCCAAAAATAATTGTACCTTTTACGTATTGAAGAAGACACTTAAAAAGCTTGAAATCATCTTTGATTGAGGTTGATGCATAGGTTGACATAATTTGCTAATTGTGTAAGCAATGTGTGGTCGGGTAAGTGTTAAATATTCAAAACATCCAATAATATGTTTAAACAAATCGGCTTGAGCAGGTACGAGAAATTGGGATGAAGTAGATGTTGACTTTGAAGCAATAAGAGTAGATATTGGCTTACATCAGCCATATCGGCCTTGTAAAGTAAATCAACTGCATGTTTTGATTGAGATAGATGGGAACTGTTTGGACTATGTAACACTTGCATCCCAAGGAAATAGGAGATGCTACCAAGATTTTTCATATGAAATATGTGAGTGAGAGCCGAGAGAAGTTGTTGAATTGTTTGATCATCATTTTCAATGAGTAGAAGGCCGTCTACATAAACTATAATGTAGATAATTGTCGAATGATTGTGATAAATTAATAAAGATGGGTCGGTTGTGCTATGAATGAACTTATATTGAAGAAGGTATGATGAAAAAAGTTTCAAACTATTATCTCGATGATTGTTTTAAATAATATATAGACTTTTGTAATAAGCAAACATAGTCTAGCTATAAAGAATCTTTGAAGTCAGTAGTTTGATACATGTACATTGTATCAGTAAGATTGCCATGATGAAAAGCGTTTGATTCATCAAGTTGAAGGACCTTCCATTTAAAGTACTAGCAACCACAAGTAAAATATGAATAGTCTTAAGTTTAGCCACCGGACTAAAGGTATGAAGGTAATCCAAACTATACTATCGATTGAAACCTTGTGCGACCAAGTGAGCCTTTATATCTCGTAATAATTCCATTGGAATTATGTTTAGTTTTAAAAATCCATTTACATCCCAAAACATTATGTGTCGGGCAAGGAGGGACCAATTTCCAAGTGCCTTGTTGTTGGAGGGCAGCAAACTCATTATACATTGCTTAACGCCAAACTAAGTGTTTAACAGCCTTTGTATAACAAGTAGGATCTGAAGGAATAATTAAAGTGTTCATACTGACAAAATGCTTTAGTTTAAGTGTCCCAGTCTAAAGTCTTTGTAACAACTAGGTGATCAATAGATTGTAATGGAGGTGGAGTTGGTATAATTATTTGATGGTGGAGGAGAATAATGGAAAATAGATGAAGGATAAATAGGTGTAGCAGGTGCATTGGTAGTATCTGGTGGAGGAGGTAAGGGGACAATTGCATGTATTGGGAGAAGTAGATTGAGAAGAGGCTTGCTGAGTAAATAGAGGAACAAGCAATGATGGTGGAGTGTAGATGAAAGAATATTGTTGTTGAGAATGAATTTGTTATTGGAAAGAGTTATGCAAAAAGTGGAAAATATCTTCAAGAAAATTGATATGATGATATGTGAATATTTTACCTGAATCGATGTGAAAACATTGATATTCTTTTGTAGTAGAGGCATATCCAATAAAAAACACATGGCAAATATCTCAAATGAAATTTGGTCAGACAAATGGGAGGAAGTAAGGGGTAGCAAAGAAAACTAAATGACTTGAGAAATGAGTAGTTTGGAGTCTTGTGAGAAAGTAATTTAAATGGAGAGGAGAGTTTTTTGGACATAGGAGGTATTCAATTTATTAAATAGACTTCTGTAAGAATAACATGTACCAAAAAATGATGAGGCATATGTGCTTCAAGAAGCAGGGTACAAATTATTTCAAGGATATGACGGTGTTTGCATTCAGCAATACCATTTTGTTATGGTGTATATGAGCAAGTGATCTAATGAAGAATGCCACATTTGGAAAGAAAGGATTGAAACTTTTAAAAGAATATTCACCACCGCCATCTGAATGCAAGCATTTCATATTTTGATTGAATTTTTTTTCAACCAATAATTTAAATTGAAAAAATGTTTGCGCAACATCATATTTAGCTTTTAATGGATAACCCAAAGAAAAATGAGAGAAATCATCAATAAACAACATGTAGTTTTTAAAACCATGTAAAGATAAAATGGGGGAAGGACCCCATACATCACAATGTATCATTTCTAAATCATGACTCGATCTAGAAGATGAAGAAGAAAAGGGTAGCTTGTGACTCTTAGAAAGAGCACAAGTGTTACAATGATAAGTTATAGACATAGACAAAAAAGGAGAGCTGGCATGTTTCGGTAATTTGAGAAGAACCAGATGAGACGAGCAACTAATTAAGACGATGATGTCATGGTTGAGTAGAGGAATGTGTTGTAAAAAAGGCTGAGAGGGATGTGAGGCAAGCTGGATAAGTACTAATTAGGTGGAGTCATTGACGAGATGGACCTTGGAGGAGAGTTTGGTTGGTCATCCGATCCTTGATATGGTAACCATGCAAATCAAATACAAAAGAGCATGAGTTATCAACTGTGAGGCGGTTTACTGAAAGAAGATTTTGAGTTAAGTTTGGAACAAGATGAAGAGATGAGAGTTGAAGTTTATGGTTGGGAGTTGGTAATAAACATTTACTAGTATGAGTAATGGGTAAGAGCTCTCCATTGCCAATCTTGACTTGCTGAGATGTTTTGTATGATTTGGCATTGTACATTTGATTAGAATCAATAGTTAAATGTGATGTAGGTCCTGTGTGCAACAACCATTTGGAAGAAGGAGACACAAGGTCGACTTAGTAGTCCGGAAAGAGGTAGCTAATAAAAAAAGTTTCCACTGTGCCAACACTTGAACGAAGAGTGGCCTATCTTGCAACAGATTTAACATTCTACAAAAGAAATTGAAGAAACAAAACCACGACTGAAATTGGTTCATCTGCGAGGAGGTCAAGAAGAAAAAAGACCATTGAAGCCACGACCGTGAGTTCTACTACGTTGAACAATAAATGCTTGTATTGGCTCAGATGACACTGAAAGTTCAAAAACTAATTTGACTGCTTAGTTGAGCTATTCAATACAAAGAAGAGCATAAAATCATCTAAACTAATTGGGTTCAAATTTGTCTAAATTGTAGTTTTAAATGCCTGATAAGAACTTGGCAAGCCATTCAGTGTGTATAATATAAATGTCGTCGAGCGGTAATGTGGAGCCAAAGGAACCAATTGCATCGACCTTGTGTTTAATCTTGGATAGATACTACATCATATATTTTTCTTTCATAGATATATGGTGCAATTTGTTCTTCAACTGAAGAATGCGAAAGAGATTCATTGATTGCAGACAACGCTCAGTAGACTGTCAAAATTGATAGCATGAATCAAGATTCAAAACATATGGCAGAAAAAGTACGATAAGTTATGGAATATAAAGCCAGCATAAGGTTTTGATCAATATGTAACCATGTGTAATATTCAGGGTTGGAACTAATTAAGGTAGAAAAGGAGAGAAGTTTAGGTGGCTTTGGAGCTAATCCATAAAGAACACCTAAAAAATGTTTGTTGTAAATAATTTTAGAAATTGAGATTTCCACAATGGGTAGTTTTCAGCTGTTAGCTGAATATTGAGCACATATTTCATGCTAGTCATAAGAAATTTTAGTTGAGATGAAATTGAAATATCAACCATTTTAATAACTAGTGGAAATTGAGATGAGGTAGATGACTAAGAGGAATTTTACATGGAGAAGAAATGCAAAGAAAACAGGAAGAAGAAACACATAACTCACTGTCGTGCTGTAGGGCACTAGTACATCTATGATACCATGTAGAACTGCTTCTCCTGCTTCACTATTGACGATATGAACCTAAAACAAGTAAACACCAAAGCAATTAGAAAATAGGGAGGAAAAGAGAATTAGTGCTAGAAGCTTGTTCACATTTCATTGTGTGCTTACCGTAGTTTTACATCAGTGTATATAACCCAATATATGGACATGGACATATACAACATATATTAAGGTGGTTAGACATCAATGGTCATGATGCTAGATAATAGAAAAAAAAGTATTATGATGTACAATAGTAGTGGAAGAATAATTGCAAGTTTATATATTGGCTTGACATCAATATAATATATTCATGAAATTTAGCTATAAAGCCAGATTTTGATTACGATTTGTTGATCACGACCCTAATATCTTGTGATTGTTATAAGAGAGCTTTTTAGAATATTTGTTGTTTGTTGGTGACTTGATCCAAGACTCCTAATAACCAGAAAACTCATCAAAATATTTAGGGCATGTTTGGCAACAAGTAGGCTTTAACTTTAGCAAGGTTTATTAAATCCTATAAATCTAGATTTAATAAATACTGACATGTTAAATCCTGAAAAATGTTTGGCAAAATAGTTGTTAAATCCTATATGTAATCAAGAATTTATGATAGCTAGTTCATTTAAAAATTAAATTTAATGTGTTTTAAATTTAATTTATGTAAAGTACTTATTAATTTTTATTTTAATTACTATCAATTGTATAATAATATATTCAATTATATTGATATTTCCTTAGTTAATTATTTTTTTGAAATAACTAGCTATTTAAATAATAATCCTACTAATAATTTAATTAATTATTTAAGTGTTGTTTAGTTGGTTTTAATCATAAATTATAATATTAATTATTTCATTAATCATTTAAGTATTATACTACTCATTAATTATTTAATAATTACTTACACTATTAATTATATAATTAATAAATTATATTAATTAAGCTAATTATATTAAATTTTAATTATTAATTACACTATTAATTATTCGTAATCTAAAATAGATCATTAATGTATGAATTAATTATTCTACTATTTATTTAATTAATTTACTTAATTATTAATACTTTAAATTTTATTAATTAAGTTAAATTAGGTCAATTTCTTCCCATAGGTCATAGGCGTATAGGGTTTGCTTTTTCATCTTATGTATTTCGTCATTGTAGTTCAACTTTGTTGCTTCGCATGAAGTAGAGTTTTGCATAAGTTGCTTATTCGGTTCCTTCGTTGATGTAAGACTTCGCTCCTTCAATGACTTTCCCTTTATGTCAGAACTCAGAAGTCACGCCATTTTAATCAGAAGCAACTAGGAGCTCACTCGCTGTGGCAATAACTATCTTTCTCCATTTCGCGCGCTTCTTCTGCCAAATCCCATAAATCCCGAAATTTTAGGGTTTACTAAATCCAAGATTTACAATCAAAGGGGAGATGGAGGATTTATTCAGCTGTGAGATTTAGTGGGCGTTCAAATCCCATTTGATAGGATTTGACATAAATCCTGTTTAATATTGCATCCAAATTGTCCCTTAGGGCCAATTTGGTAACAATTAGGATTTAACTTTAGTAGGATGTACTAAATATTTTAAATCTAATTTTGGTAAGTTTTAACTTGTTAAATATTGAAAATTGTTTGACAATATGATTGTTAAATCCCGTTGAAGCTGTTTGACAATATAATTCAGGATTTAAGCGGCTAATTTATTTGAAAATAAAAATTAATATGCGTACGTGTTAAATACAAATTACTTATTAATTTCAAATTTAATTACTGTCAATGGTATAATAATATATGTTTAGAGTGATGGTAAAATTGATGGGGATATTATCAACATAATTCAAGTTGGATGATTTAGTTATTTTTAATTATACATAATATTTTTAATAATTTCATTAATCACCTTAGTATTCTAATACTCATTAATTATTTAATTATTATTTATATTATTAATTATTTAATCAATAATTTTTATTTCAAAATATGTCAATTTTTAATTACTAATTGTACTATTAATTATTTTATTAATCTAAATTAAATTAAGCACAAATTATACTACTAATTTTTAATATTTTAAATTGTATTAATTAAATTAAATTAGATTAATTTCTTACTAATAGCTTAGGGGCGTCTAGGGCTGGCTCATCTTCTCTATTTCGACGTTGCTGATCAACTCCGTTGCTTCGCGTGAGGTAGAGTTTTGCGCGAGTCACTTGTTCGGCTCCTTCACACGTTTCCTTCCTGTCGGATCGGAAGTCACGAAATTTTGATCGGAAGCAAAAACGGGAGCTCGCTCGCTGTGAAGGTAACTATCTTTCTACCTTTCGTGCGCTTCTTCGGCCAAATCCCGTAAATCCGCGAAATTTCAGGATTTACTAAATCCGGAATTTACGGTAGAAAGGTGGAGGTGGAGGATTTATTCCGCCGTGAAATTTAGCTGGCGCTCAAATCCCGTTCGGCAGAATATGGCATAAATCCTGCTCAAAATCAGCATAAATCCTGCATCCAAACAGCTCCTTAATGTGAAAATTAAAATGAAAATCTTTGATAAATTATTATGAAGTAATGTTGATGTTCACATGATGGACGAACCGTTGTTTTATAACTTTTTTCAAGTGATGCTTATACATTTCTTAAACGCCATGGTTTGTTAAAGTAGTGATCTATGCCTACACCTTGGATTTGTGAAATGTTAGAATGTTCAAAGGTTAGATCTCAAGTTTATTTGGGCCTTTTTGTGGTCTTCAGGAGACGTCATCATATGAGATTTCATGAGTAGTTAAATTTATCCACTCTGTTTGCATATTTGGCATAGGTCATGAGTTTTAAACTCTTAAATTCACTTATTATTATAGAACACATTAGTTTTTGAAATTATGTTAGTTTGTATTTTGTAAATTCAATATCGGGCTAATGCTATAATGCATTTATATTTGTAGCATTTTTACATCTTAATATTGCATCTTCATGAAACATATTACTATGGTGTTTTTTGAGTAGTCAAATTATGCAATAAATCTATAAATTATAAAGTTGTTAAGGTTTTCTTTAATCACGGTACTGGTAATCATTTCAAATGAAGTTGTGAGGCATTTCTTAAACCCAATTGTTAGCTAATGCTGCATTATATTTCAATGCATTATTTGGCAATGATTGGAATGTGCAAACTTTAGATCATGATGCAATAAATACTTGCCATTTATTAGCTTTCTTGCATGACTTCTCAGTTTCCCTTTTTGATTCCTTGTTTTCTCAGTGGGTTTTTAGTTTTCCTGCTGTTAGCCCTTCATTTTCCCCATATTGTGGCTGTTTGGTCTTCCCTATATGGTTGTTTGGTCTTTCCATGATTGGTTGTTGGTCTTCCCCATGTTGGGGTCTGTATTTCCCTATGCTGCTGTCCCATTTTTCTCGAATGCTGGCTGTTCGTGTATTGTGCCTTGCTGATTGCTATGCACAATGGTTTAATTTCTCATTAAGTGAGTTGTTTTGAATTTATTCTATTGGCTGATTTGGGTGGCTCATTAAGGAGAGCATTTAATACATTTTTCTCCTTCTTCTCCTATATAAGGTGGCTAATTTCCTTTGAAAAAAGAGAGAGTTTGGAGAGAGAGAGTTTGGAGAGAGAGAGAGAGAGAGAGAGAGAGAGAGAGAGAGTGATGAATATTTGGAAAGTGAAACTTACGAGGCTACGAGTTTATATATCTTGCGAGCTATTTTCCTCTACCTCCCTACTTCTAAAATTTCATCTCGGACTTCTATCTTTTTTTTTCTCTCCACGATTCCCATTTCTCCTGTATCTTTCTTCTCGAAGCTTTGATTAATCATTTGGTGTTGTTGTGTCCTTTTTTATATTTGAAGTTGTAAGGTGTTGTGTCTTTTTATTTGAAGTTGTAAGGTGTGGTTGTGTTTGTTTAAGCTATTGTGAGATATAATAGTATTGTTTTGTTCAATCTGTGTTTGCCTATGCTTTAAGGAAATGAAGTCTTTAGTTTGCAATTCTAATGTTTTTTAGATTGCATTTGATCATGAGTAGTGTAATGCAATTTTGTTGTTTTTTATGTTACCTCTTCATATGAGGTTTTCCGAGTTTTATCTAAATTCATTTGTACTTTAAAGAATTACCATCAGTTACTTTTACATATTACTATAACTACAATATTCATTAACCGATTAGGTTCACTTTCAGGAATTAAAGTTTGAGGAGCTTGGATTGTAGGTAAAATTAGGATTATGGTAAAGTTATAACTGATAAAAACACATGCTTTTTGGTGAATACCTTAAGGTGCAAAACTCCTTGATTTTCTTTTTATGTTCTCTCTTTGAAATTTCTTTAATTTTCCCTTTTCTTGAATTCTCTCTTATGTTAGAGGATTGAAAAGAAGCTTAGAGAGGAAGGTGGAGGGGGTTTTTTAGTTTCTTGAAGATATGGAGATGACTTGGGGGGTTTCTTAGTTTCTTGAAGAAATAGAGTGGTTAAGGTCAAGAACTAGGTGTTCCCATGAAGAGGAAGAGAGAGAGAGGGCCTAGGATTGTGGAATTGCATGAGATAGGAGAGGTGGGCATTGTAGGAAAGAGGAGAGAGATAGAGATAGAGAGGGAATTAAGGTGGGTTATGAGGATTGTTTCAATTTCAATTTATGCAAACATTCTCATACCTCTATTTTTTAAAATTGGCCTTATAATTTAAAACTCAAATTAATATCAAGATGGGTATTAAATTCCATCTTATTTAAAATAAATATAATTATAAAAAAGTTAATACATAAAAATGAAATAAATAAAAAATGCTAGAAGTGATATTTAAATTCTTGAGAATCTAAAAATGTTGAAATAATTTAGATGCTTTTCTTTTACAACATCAACTCTTTGCGTCCGATAGAATTACTCCTAAAGTATCATGCAAAAGCCCTTCTTTGAGCAAAAGTCATTTTTGAAATGTTTGGGTTCCATTTGTGAAGGAGATGACAAAATAGGCTCATAAATATCTCTTGAATATTTAGCATGTGCGTGACATGTGTGGATTGAACATATCAAGTGGAATCTGGATGCTTAGATTTCAAATGTGGCCATGTATCATTAATCTTTGTTTCATCAATACCATAGAAGGGTCTCCCATAGTTTCATGTTGTTGGTAGTAATAATAATACGAGCTTAACCTGTTTAATTTGAGATGAAGCAAACATTACTTTTGAAACATGTGGAACAACTTGCATATTTATAAGGTATCTTGCAAGAATACCAATATATGTGGATCAACATATTTCTTTACCCTAATAATAATGCTAATAGAATTTCCGCAAAAGGCTCGAGTGTTCCTCAAATTTAAACAAAAAAATAATATCATATGTATGACACTCTGGTCAGGCTTAGTTGAAGGCTTGATCTGTGATGATCGATCGATTTTATAAAGTTCATTTGCAGAACTTAGATCATGGATTAACTCATGACAAAGATCAAGTTTTTAAAGTGGTCTAGGTGATATATGTGTTGAATTTCTAGAATTCATGTAAGTTTTCAAACTTTGGAGTTTGAGAAATATGTATATAATATGATATGTTATCTTAAGAAGATTTTTCTTGTAGATGGAGGAGATGATCATATGTATAACCATCATAAGATTTATTTTAATGGTGATATTTGTATTCTTCTTGCGACACTCAATCATCATAGGAATGTTGGTATTGATAAGACTCAATATAGTTTAAAAGTAGTGTAATATGACCCAATATAGCTGTCATATTTATGAGAAATAAGAGCTACGACAAAATGAGACTGAAATAGCCCTTTATAATATTTGATACATTGATTCTTAATTGAGTTAGATAGTTTTTCTTTTACTTTAGCAAGCTTATAAATGTGTGAAATATGTGTTTCAGGCATAATCTATGCATCTTCTCCAAGACAGACATTGTTATTTTAACAATGTCATGGTTATTTCATAGTCATCATCATTAGCCTATTTAGGGGTGTAAATGAGTCGTGTCGAGCTTGAGTCATAGTTAACTTGAGCTCGACTCTCCTATCTCAAGATTGTCTCAAGCTTGAGCTCAAATTTTGAGCTCGAGCTCGGTTCATTGTATCTTTAGAAGGTTTGAGCTCGACTGAGTTGTTCTTACCCAATTTTTCAAAACCCTCGACGGCTATGAGGCGAGGAAGTTGCAATAGGAGCTCACTGGAGCAGAGAAAATCACGATTAAAGCTCGTTGTAGAAGGCAACATCACGAGTCGTGACGGTTACTTGTTGGAGAGGTGAAGCCGAAGTTGGTACTCATTGGAGAAGTTGAAGTCGGGTTCTAAGAAAAAAAAGGAGTTCGGGCAAATAGGGATTTAACCTGAAATGGGGGTAAAAATGGGATTATTGGAGTAACTACTCACAATAGGTAGTAAGCTAATAATTTCATAATGTAAAGAAAGGCAAAGGAAGCAAGGAGAAAGAAAACATTGGCATTTTGTTACACAACATAGAATACAAAGATCTTAGTTATATAAAGGTTAATACATGAAGTTCACATTAGAGTAAATTAATATTATGGCAGTATGTACATACAATGGAGATCATTCCTACAATTTTAATCAATGGTCAAGCCGAAGAGATGACACTTGGTATTGTATCATATGATAGAGCATAATACATTAGCTGGTTTTGATTATTAGGATTTGTGATTTATAGTTTACAAATTGTGTAGGCTAGTGAGTCAACCAGCTGAGTCTCACCAAGTTTGTGCTCATGCCTTGATAAGCTTAACTCACAAGCTAGTTAGCTAGTCTAGTTTGAGCTGACTTGCGAGTTATTTTGGCTTATTTACGCCTTTATTCTTATCTAAACCATTTTGGGTCTGTCTAAGATGTTATGGTAATACATTTAAGGAATTCATATGGATTTATGCAATGTCTAGGGTTTGGGTTAAGGGAAATGGGATGATTTAGTTGTAGTTATTGTTTTTTTTTTCATGTGAATATGTAACTTGGGACCGTCTTCATTACAATTACCTATAAGAAATTAAGTTATAATACCAATTCGGTGTAGATCTTGAATGTGTTGGTCTCTTATTTTATTTTTCTTCGTCCTTTTCTTTGAAAGAATTTGTTTTCTTCTTTTTCTAGAAATCTACCTCGAGATTTGAGAGGATTGAAGAGGAGTTTTTAGAGAGATGGGAGGAAATTTCTCGATTTCTTGAAGATACAAAGAGAGAACTTGGTGTTTCCATGAGTAGGGAGGGAGAGGGGGATGTAGTGGTCTGTGGTCTTTGAAGTGGTGGATGGGAATGATCAATTTTATTTATATGAATGACAAGGTGGCTTGAGGTTCAAGAGACTTGGGAAAGTCCATCTTCCAAGGTTTTCTGAGAGCTATGCAACGGATGGTGGGTTTTGATTGAGAGAAGTGGATGTTATGGGATTGATTTTTGGGATTTAAATAGAGTGGAGGGCCTGGAGGCTCAACTATGATGAGTTTAGGATGTGTTGAGATGGTGAAAATAAGGAATTGGAGATGTTAAATGGTGATATAATATGTAGAGATGTGGAAAGGCAAGATGATAGATTTAGAGAATGTCGAGAGGTTGGCTGATGCCCTTATGAAATATATTTTCTTTGTATGGTTTGAAAGGAATGTTTGGGGGTACTTCAGAACACAAAAAGAGATGCAAAAGAATAAAACTACAAACAAAAACTGAAGAATAATAATATATAACTTGGAAAGCCCAAACTCACAAACGGAAGGTATTAAATGAACACAATAAAGCTCGAACAAACATGAACCAAACTTGAACAAGCTGATATTAAATGAACACAAACATGAACACTCACATACTCGGCTCGGCTCGGTTCGTTTGCAGCCCTAGGAAGAAGCAAGCCACTGAGCTTAACGTCAAGGAATTAGCAACCATACTTTTTCCAAACAAGAAGAAGACTTCTCAAACTAATTTCATTTCAATATTCTCTAATAAGACATCTATCAACAGATACATCATTTTCCCACACTTATTATATTAAGAAATTATTAGGTACAATAAATAAAAGTTGGAGGTTCTGAGAGTAAAATAGGAATGAAATTCTCAACATGCATGAATGAAGTTGGGAGAATTATTAAGTCACCTGAATTTTCTTTGCTCATGAATTTTTAACTAAGCATTTGAATGAGTAAACCCTTGAATTTTCTTTGCTCATGAATGTTTAACTAAGCATTTGAATGAGTAGAAATGTCTTCTGAGCTTCTTTTTGACTTTCTTGACCCATTGACTTGCTTTGCTTGAATGTGTTGACTAACTTGTATGGGTGGAATAAAAGTGAGCTAGCTTGCACGTCCATCTTTGCATGGTTACAAAAAAAATTTAAAGCGACAATGGATTGTAGATTTTTATAATGAAGGGGGGGGGGGATAATCAAGGAGGGTTATAGATTTAATTTAAATTTGATATTGCAAAATGACCCTTCCTATTCTTATATATAGAAGTATTTGGTTTTCAATTTAAAATTCAAATTAAGATCAAGAAAACTCTAAAATCCTATTTGTAATTTAAAATTAAGATAATTCTAGAAATCAAATGCATTAAACTGGAATAAATGCACTAAAATAATCTAAAAATATTAGAAAAATCTTAATTTTATAAAATAATTTAATAAATGCATCACTTTCGAGCTTGCTCCTCTTCCCTAAACCATTTTCTTGTTGAATTCAGTTTATGTTTGAATTTTCCTTTTATGCATTTGCTTCCTACTTTCTCTGTTTATCACGTTTTCGTTTTTCTGAAACCCCTTTATCTTAAACCCCTCATGAAAAATACACATTGCTTTTAGCTGCCAGATTTTTTACGTAAAAAATTAGTTCTCAATCATGGTCAACATTTACTTGTTTTTTAAATATTTCGATGCCATTAAAATATATCACATGTTAATAGTATGATTCCCATGTTCAAGGTTGAAAATGGATTTGTGAATTATATCAGTCTTTCATATGAATTATAATTTTTTTGTCTAAATGCTGTTTAAATCTCCTGTTTTTTTTTTCACCACTAACTTTTTTCAGTAACTGTTTTTTGAATCCGCCTTTTCTTTGCATTTTTCTTTTGATGCAGTTTAGAAATGGTTCTGCTTTTTTCCATATTGCAAATGTTTATATATTGCGTAAGTGCAACGTTTTAAAAATATGGTAACGTTGTGAGGTGTTTGCCAAATGACCTACTTTATTATGGATAACCATTTTTGGCTTTATAAGATGACTTTGCCTTTGTTAAATGTGTTCTCCTTCATACTTTTCATCCAGGTGGCTTCAGAAAATCATCATCTATCCTTTATAATAAGTTCACTATTTTCTTGTCAAGATGGTAAAACTCACATTGATTGCACGTGTAACTGATGGACTTCCATTGGCGGAAGGATTAGATGATGGCCGTGATCAGAAAGATGCAGATTTCTACAAGCAACAAGCAAAGCTTTTGTTCAAGAACTTGTCAAGAGGGCACAATGAGGCTTCAAGAATGTCAATCGAAACTGGTCCTAACTTCTTCCAGTATCCTACATCTTCTGCTATTGCCACTCATTAGTATATCCTATAAACAAATTGTTACAAAAGGTGGGTGAAGTTGGTATGTTTGTAAAAATGTTATGCCAATTAGAGCTACCTTTTAACTTGTATGCAAGTGATTCATGAATGCATTTTGTCAATTTGTTTTGACTCATTGGTGTTCTTTGTAAGCGTTCAGTGGTCAATATGGTTATACTGGTATTAATCATGATCAAAATGGATCTTTTAATCCTTAAAAGCATAAGAACAGGTTGGTATTATGCTATTTTGCAATCTCATTAATTAGCCTTAGTGTAATAGTTAGGTTGTTGTGGGCTTTAAAAAATCTAATATTTTCTAGTTGTATAGCAACCAGTAAATGACAAATACCTAGAAATTCTATCACGGATTTGTGAAATTCAATGAGAGGCAGATTGAACTATTATATCCCATAAATTTCACTTGAATGGTATGGATGATCAAACACGGTTTGATCAATTCTAGGGAATCTTGGTTTCTCATGAGCGTAAGCCCTCATTATTAATTACATTTTCAGTTTGATACTGAAGAATATTTTTTATTAAGGATATTCATTTCGTGCTCTAGATAGTAGATTCATGTAGCCGATCCCACGTAATGGGATAAAGGCTTATTGTTTTTGTTGTGGTTGTTGCTCTAAATTCAACATAAAGTGTTCTATGCAACAATCCTAACAAGATGAGGTTTAAGATCAAAGAGGTTGTCAATTAAACACTAGGTGTTGTGAGGGGTAAGGCAATAAAGAGGACAAGAATGTTAAAGTAGTGAAAGGATTTTAGTGTCGTTCCTCAAAGAGTCCGAGTGACATTGTGTAGAATAAACTTAGCATAAAAGAGATTCCTGGTGTATTGAGGTCTTATTACCCCAAGAGGGATTTCTAAAAGGAGAATTAGGAAAGGGACTTATAACATCTCAAGAAATGATGCTTGGGATAAGGGTCTCACAGTCTACGAATGGATTTTCTATGAAGGAGGAAACAAAGTTACATCATTCATAAAAAAAGATTGAAGAAATTGACCCAAGGAATGTGACTTTCATTTCCTTACCAATCAAGGAAATATTCGAACTAGGCTTACAATAATCCAAAATGAAATATTTCTTGGCTTGACGTGAGAGTGAGACTTACAACACCAATCAGGATAATTCGGGAAGGGATTCACCATGTGCTTATAGTGGATCAATGAGTGATTCATTTTGTAGAAAGTTGCTCCAGTGAAGTTGGGAAAAAGGAGGTGGAGAACCCTGCTAAGGAAAGAGGGCTTCCTAAGCTTGGGAGGAGATCTTTGCTGTGGATATGATAACTTCACTGGGATCAAAATACTGTTGTGTTGTGTGATGCGTGACTTCTTCTAAAAGTCGAGACCATGAAGCCTTGGGTTACACCAAGCCGGACTTAGTTGCGAGTGACTGAGTTATAGAGAGGATGCTTGCTAGGCTTGATTGCACTATAAGGGTAATCGAGTGGAAACAAATGACCTTGCTACTGCCAGGAAAAGAGAGGAATCCTTTATAGACTACTTGACTTTGCCAAAGTGAGGTTAGAAGTTGGACTTCACCGGGAGGAAATAGGACTTTTCTGAGGCCAAGAAAGGAATTCCACCAAGAGGAGTGGTTACTTAGTAGTTGAAGTTAACCAATCTAGTTAATATGACTTGCTCCCGTAGGTCAGAAAAAGGCGTGATAAAGCAAGCATCGATCCATTGGGAAATGGAGTAGCTTCATTCCAATCAAGAAAGAAATAACATCTTTATTGGGATTGTGTTAACTCCAATATAATCAAGTCAATGGGTGGAGAACTCCCATAGAGGATGAGGGCTTTCCTAATGTCGACAATGGGAGTTGTATAGAGTGACTTTTAAAGTTAGTGTCAAATTAGAAGATTTATCCTATGGTTCTACTTGAGTGTCCATAGCAACATAGAAAATCATAGACATTTTATAAGAAAAAGTAATAATTCTTCAGTTATTTCTTAGAAAGTAGTATAATGACAATATATGATGAGATAGAAAGATGAAAAGTTGAAAACATTCGAAATGCTTGCCTACTTGGGCTTCTAACCTTGGCACTCTATGGGTTTTGCCCTTGGAACATCTACATTAGAGAGAGATCATAAAAGTAGTTTTTTTATTAAAACGGGGTTACTTTATTAACTTGTTACTTTAATATTATCAGTTTAGATCAAGTGGCTTGGAATGATTTAGAAAAAGTACGATGAAATTCTAATGGTGGATCTATGAATTTCCCTCATTTTACTACCTTTTTCTAGCTTTCACAAGTTAAAAGCATTTTTTTTTATAAAAAAAAATTTAGGAAATTAGGCAACAACAACAACATCAAGCCATTATCCCGCTATGTGAGGTCGGCTACAAAATTCTTTTTCTCCATTGTATCATGTTAAGAGTTAAATTCTCATTTAAATATACTAAAACAAACTATTTTTAATATTTTCTAACCTAGTCTTTTTAATTCTACCTCTACTTTTCTTAACATAGGCTAAATCTAATACATCTACTCTCCTAACTGGGTTATCAGATGGTTGACATTTGCGACCAAACCATCTAAGGTGACTCTCTCTAATCTTATCTTCTATTGGAGCTACTTTGACCTTTAATTTAGGAAAATATGAATTTATAAAATTTTAAAGACTTTAAATTCGTGTGAAAAGATTGCATTGCAATGAATTTGGGTTTGAGTGGATGAACTCAATCTAATACAAGCTTTTAGAAGGAAATGGGCCTTAGTGATCATAAATATTTAATTGACCTAAAATTATCACTAAGTTCCTTACATACGTATTTAATTTGTCATTCGAATCAACATGGAATGCCATATGAAAAAGATTTAGTAATAGTCTTATCAAATGTGAGATCTGCCAGCTACTTGGTTGAGAGTAGTCGATAGGTGATGCTATCAGCGGGAAGTCGGGTCGGTGAGGAATCAAGTCGACAGGTCATCAAGATGGTAGGTCATTGAGTAAACAGGATTGCAACGAGCTAGCTACGACTTCCAAAGATGACACGAGGCACCCTAGTATTGAGTCATTCACAAAATGAGAGGATGAGTTATTTTTGAACTAGATGGTGGCAAGTCATCTCTTGGCATGGCAACAACCCTTTCATGACATGATAATAAGTTGTCACTAGCCAACATGAGCAACAAATTGGCGAGAGATGAGCCATTAGAGGAGAAATGATTATGAGGTGGTGGTATTAACATTGTTTAATACTTGGGGTGAGGTTTTCTCATAAACTAGGCGGCTTGCCAAATGATCCCAACATAAGAATTATTTCATTCTTTTAATTGCTAGAGGAAATGTTTCCTCCTTAATTCTAATGGCTAGCCCCAAGCTAATTTTAGGAGAATACATGCTAGGCTATTTTGGTTACGTGCACGCTAATGGTTGCTTTGCATTAATTCTGAGGAGAGTTGATTGATGTCCTAAAATCCAAGACGAGTTTTGAGGCAATGAATCGAGCAATACATTCTAATGGAATGGGGAGGGAAGTTGTTAGACAAATGTTGCAACCAAAGTCGATTAGAAGAAATAGTGTCAAGATGACTGCGTCAGGTGCTAGGATGGTGTGTGTATTAGTCAAAGTCGATCGAAGATTCCAAGGAGAATATCATGGGTGGGGTTATAAGGAGCTAACACTAGTTGACGGCCATTATGATGAAGAGTAGCACTATTCAACCCATGAGAGTTCAGGGTAAAGAGGGTGTATGTTGGACAGGAAGGGAGTGTTGAGAAACAAGAAGTTAGCGACGGGCAATGATCGACAAGTTGTCTTTGGGTGCTAATTGAAATGGTGTTGAGAGACACTAAGAGAGTTCTAGGCGGAGAGGTAGCCAACTTGGTAGGAAGGGATTGTTGGTCGATAAGAAGATAACAATATAGGTGGTGACTAACGAGTCGGTGTCAAGTGCTAATCAAGATGGCATTGCTAACTTGAGAGTTCCGAGTGGAGCCAATGCTAGTCGGGCAGGAAGGGATGTGCCGGCCGAGAAGAAGTCGACGTTGTGCAATGGCCAATAAGTCAGTTCGAATAGCTAATCAAGATGACACCAATCGACTTGAGAGGATTTCGTGTAGAGTGCATGCTAATTTGATAAGAAAGCTTGAACCGACCCAAGAAGGGGGCTTCGATCCAGCATAAATGATTGCACTGACCGAGCAAAAATTGCTACATTGACCAACTCGAGAAAGGGGCGTCAGTTGGGCATAGAGGGTGTTGAAGAGATAGTGTCCTGGGAGGGCATCGACAAATCTCCCGTTGGGTCGAGATTGTGCTAATCTAGCATTGGCTGACTCGGAAGAATTTAGGCCATGATGGTTTTTTCCAAGAGTGGTCTACTAGGATCTTCATGCTCCTTATAATGGTTAGGATATCCTGTAGAGCATAAGATAAAGGGAGTTAGACTAGGCTTTGAGTATCTAGTCTAAGGCTTGGCTTTGGGCTAGGGCTACGCATGTCCTCCTAGTTTGTTAACAGAGCTAAGCTTAAATGACAAGGAGGTCCTCTGGGAGAGCTAAGAACCCCCCTGCTAAGGCAATCTTAGCGTTAGGGTAACTAGGTCGGGATTGTGCTTCCATCATTTGGGTGCTTAAATGTAGATATTACATTGGGAGAAAGGAGCTGTCAACAAAGTTCATGGGTTTTAATCAATGAAATAGCCTCTGCAATATGGGAGTATGACTTGGTATCTGTAACACCCCACAGTATCTCTTAACAGTAAGGTAGAGTGTAACAAGAATAAAAATAACATTTCCATCACTAAACATCTTATTCATATCATTACATTTCCACTTTATATAAAAGGAAGCATGTATCAATTCTCAAGTTTCATCCAAAACCTAGTACAGAGCCACTAAGGAAAACCAAACAAATTCAAAGTAATACAATATTAAATTTGTCTACTAACCTCAAAAGTAGACCTCAAACATAGAATAAATATTAACATAAAATTAAAATACTTGCAGATTAGTCTTCTTCCATCTTTTCCTTTCCCTTTCCTGTAACAACAGCAAGTAATAAACTACTGGTGAGCTATGAGACTCCATAAGTGATGCAATATGAAGTAGCATTTAAATTATATGGTTATAAATTTTTGAATATTGAACACATAAATAAAGTTAAACTACTAGAGCAAACTTCATAAATTCTCATTTGACATTACCCAGAATTTCTTCTTACATTCATACTGAATATCAATTTTACTCATTAAAAGATTTGGCTACTCATTCATAAACATATTCAATGGAGCCCAGGTAAACCTGACATTATCGCCATTGAATTATATAGAGGTCCCTTTTGCCTCTTTGGGGCCTATACACTGCCTGTCTCATACAT